AGAGAGAGAGAGAGAGAGAGAGAGAGAGAGAGAGAGAGAGAGAGAGAGAGAGAGAGAGAGAGAGAGATGTGGACGGCTGACCCACACCACAGAACCTCGTCAGTCAGGTACCAGCTCATCTTCCCTGGACGTGACTATGCTTAATTTGCTTAATTTGTAGCAACATGGGTCTAACCAATATCCATGTTTCCCCGAGTTTCATGGGCGTGGATTAGGAATAACATCCCATATATGTTTGTAATGTGTGTGAAAAGGCAGTGTAAACACTTGCATTCCAATTTGTCGCTATAGTTCATTCTGTGACAACACTCGCATTGCAATTTGGACTTCCTTTGTGAGCTCCCATTCTTTCTTCTGATCACTTTGGCTGACCTGGTCTCCTCTTGCACTGCTATAGGGCGTGTCAGAAGCGAGGACAGGAGGCAGCGTGGGTTTTATTCATCACATCGCTGCATGTTTGCTTGTTCACTCTTCACTTGCATGCTTGCTGTTCTTGCTGCCTTGCTGCCCTTTTTGCTGCCTTGCTGCCCTGGCTGGCTGCTGTTGACCGAGATGGAGTGTGTGACACAAGGCATTATCGAGTCACAATACGTTGATGCTTTGCGGGAGCTGCTTCAGGGGCTCTGCGGCACTAAGGAGGATTCAGTGAAGGTTCATGAGATATGTCTCCGAAGTGCCCCTCACCTCGGTACTGTTCCGTCCGAGATCAGGCTTCAGTGTGCTCTTCACGGGCCATCTCCAGTCTGGACAGTGAAACACGTTGGAGGGCCTGTGAGGGGCTCTGGCGTCGAGCAAATGTCAGCAGTTGTTCGGAGTGTACTGGAAGCAGAAATCAGTGGGAACGCACTCGACTTCTTCCTTGCCCTTGGGTACAAGCTTGAGTACGAGATGTTGCGCGTAGGCTTCTCTTTCAAAGCGTTCAGATTGATTGTGATGACTGCGTCCGTGATTTCAATTATGAAGATTCCCAAGCTGCATATGATTGACGAGGCGGTCCCGCTGACGCCGAACATGCACTTGGTTGAAGTGTCAGCTCCAGCAACACCTGAGAACTATTCTGAGGTTGTGAGTGCAATGTCAACATTCACGGAGTTCCTTTCGCCACTTGTGCGGATGTCTAAGCCAGGGGCAATGACCGGAGTAGTTCCCACTGCGGGGAATGCCGCGGCTGCATTACTTGCGGGGAGGAGATGGCAGCCCAAATAAGATATAATAGGTACAGGCGTTAAAAAAAAAAGAAAAAAAGAAAAAAAAGAAAAAGAGAAAGAGTCCCCCGGGTATAGGTGTGCACTCCTATCTATATATCTCTATCTCTGCAATGTCCTCACAGTGTTGTCGTAGACTTCATGCTCCCTTCTGGTGTCTTTTTTTCCCGCCCGCCCAAGAGATCCATGTTGCCTCAGTGCCTTCGCAGCTGATCATGATATAGAACTGTAGTTGATAGATCGATCACGTAAATTTTTGGTCCTTAGCACTGAGAGGTCCCCCATTCCGTTTTTTTTTTTTTTTTTTTTTTTTGTGTGTGTGTGGAAACGCCCCCTTCAGTGATACTGGTGCTGGTAATAAGAGCAGACACCACTAGCACCTGGGGAGAGGCTCCATCTATTGGTGGGGAGCATCACCTGCTGGAAAACGGGGGCCCCAATCTGGGAATATGGGACCGAATATTGGATGGGCCTGTGTTGGAACTTTGAAACTGATTGTGGTGGATAAAGATGCTCCATCTTTTCCCCAGCTTTTGTAGAGATTCTGGAATATAAAGTCGATTCAGCTTGCTTGCTGTTCTCCGCTTTTGCAGATAACAGTGGCAGTAGGGCATGTCAATTGGGCTCTGTGCGCTACTTGGTAGAATTGTGTGACAAGTGCAAGCATGGTCCACATTTGTGCGCCAGGTTGGTGCTATTATTAGCACAATCGCAGTCCGTTGAGATCCCCCCTCTGTGTTTAGAGAAACTGTAGACACTCTCTTCAGTCCCTTGTCTCTCCCTTTCCCGACCCCATTTACCTTGTTGTTGTTAAACAAGTTACCCTTGTTTACGAGAGTGAAATAGTTACGTTGGTTAGGCTGTCAAGAGGTGATTAGATTAAATGGCAGACTCTACTTGATCGAACGAAAAAGGCGTGCGTCCATCAGGAGATGACTTCTTTTTTTTGGGAAGGNGGTTGTTGCTGCGCAGAGCAGGCCGCATGTCATTTGGCGTTTGTTTGTGAAAATGATTAAAAATGGTTATTATCCTCACGGCTGGGTGGATGGATGGATGGATTCATTGACAGATACCTCTTCTGCTTTTGAAGAAGAAGGTGTAGATTTTCAAATGGCGTTGAAATTATTAGAGGGCTCTGGTAGTCAAGTATGTAGTGGCAGGAGGGGGTGTAATCACTGTATTGATGATCATGCCTCTGGACTGTGAGGGAGAAAGAGAGAATGGAGCTCGCACATGGGGATGTGTGAATGCCGGGGCAGTACAGGTACATGCAGAAAGAGGAGGCAAAGTACCAAGATGATGTGATGTGATGTGTAGCTACCCTTTGGCAGCCTAGCTATGCAGAGTACACAATGTGAATAGGAAAGATAGTTAAACGTGGCCTATAGCATTTCCTCTACATTGCTTCGCACTTGCCGGCACTTGGTTTCTGTTCGATCACACTTGCCGGTACTTGGTTTCTGTTCGATCGCCAGCGCACCCAAGCTTGGGTGAACCTGTAGGCCATGGGGTAACCGGCTCGTTCGGTACGGAGATCACCATTGGCGCGCCAGAAAGACTGGCTTTCGAGACGAGATAGACTTGGTAAAGTCCTGGATGCATCGTCACTCTCTCCTCTAGGGTTATCAGAAATCACAAGAGAATATGGCTTTTGTCTTCCTCCTAACGAATCCATTGCGCCTTCAAAAGTGACTGAATCGGGCTGGAAGGATAGCTTGTATGCATTCACGATGAGGGTGCATCGGGCTCTGAGGAAGATGGTAGGTAGTCCCAGTAAGGTCCTGAGGGGTTCATGAGACAAATGGTATTGTAACACTACGTTAGAACTGCGGATGTGCACAGCTGCGGGTTGAAATCCTCATTGAGTTCCATATCGCTAGGGCTTGCCGCTTCCTTTTCATTGGGAAAAGATCGGGAAGGAGGTGATTTTGGAGGAATGGAAATTAACAAAGGCCTGCTGACTCAGAGCATGTTATTGCTATTGGAAGGGATGTGATATCATCAAGGAAGCCTTGCAAGTTTGGTGTTGTGACCTTTATGTGGAGTGCTGAAGAGAAACAGATCAGAAGTAACCGGAAGTGACGAGTGGCAGGGAGGCTGTCACCGAGGCGAGGCCTTAATGTATGAGCCAGGGGGGAAATGCAGGGGCCATACGCAGCACATACATTTGAAACACTGCCAGCAGCACTCCATTGGAAACAGTGTCTGCTACTACTATGAGGACTAGGAGGATTGGATGCACTGTTACATAGCGGCACCCAAACTGCTATTGCCCCATCTTTCATTGTGGCCATACACAGCAGACTTAGTGCTTGACTTCACTTGCACGCTAGAGTTAAACCACTCGTAACACCCGGGCCTGGAGGTGCTGCACTACGCGCCAAGCTTGTCCGAACTGCCTGCGGCACACTTTTTTTTTTTTTTTTTGGCTGGCGCCGCCAGCCATTGTGGTCCAGTAGACCCGAGCCGCAAACATTTTGGTGTAGGCGACGGACAAATTTCTGCAAGGCTGGGCCTGTGTACTGGTGGTTTAAGACCTGGCTCCATTGTTGCTATATTTGTCCTATGTTTGTGCTATATTTGTGCTGTGTGAGTGCTATGTTAGTGCTATGTTTGGCCTTTTTTCGTGCTATGTTTGTGCTGTGTTTGTGCTGCATTAGTGTGAACGTGACCCGCTACTTGATTATCACAATTTAATATAAAAAAAAATCAGTGCAAAGTTGCAAACATTCAACCACTGGGGGAATATGAATAAGATAATAATTCAGATGGAAAGACAATCCCATTCAATGAGCAGAAACTTCAGTCGCAGACTCCACACCTTCACACAAGAGATATGTCAAATATTGCACCACTGGGGCTGGGGCCTGACTCTTGGTTGTTTTAATTCACTGGCACAGCTTTGCTGATGTTCTAGCTTCATTGCCATGATGCGCAGGATTCCTTACAGCAATGGCATGATGCCATAGTTAAATGGACATGCAGCAATTGTTTGTGTTCTGAATCTTCTGATGCATATAGTCCTTTGTTCTGAACCCGCGTGAATTTACAACAAGAGTACGCACAGGTCCGAAGTGCATGCAAGTGCAGTTAAGCCTGTGCTTGGTGCGCGCAAGTGGAAGTGAGTGTCTGCTGGCTGTGATGATGTTTCTGGCAGGCAACTCAGTTCTGTTAACCTCTTTGGCTGTGATGGTTTTCCGCAAGCCAGCCTCCCTACTCCTGATGTATGTACGAGGAAATGTGATAGCCTTTTTCTTCCCATTTTTTTTCTTGACAACAGAAACTTAACTGGATGGGACGGTCAGATTTTTGAAATTTAACCGCAGAACATGATATTGTCAAAACGAAAAACGAAAAAGAAGAAGAAAAAAAAGAAAAAAAAAGAAGAAAAAAAAGGGGCAAAAAAAAAAAGAAAGACTGGATTTGTCAAAATGAAAAGCCATAGGATGAAGTTAACGTGATATTCTGGTCATTGTTGAACGTGCGCAGATCGATCCCTGTACAGTTTGGCCTACTACCATATTTGACCTCACACAATCTGATCTCGCCTTGTGGCCAGCAGAGGAATGATTGGCGATGCCAGGCATTTGGACGTAAAACGGGTGGTTGTTCACTGCAGTCATCTGCATCGAAAGTGCGGACTGACATTCAGAGTTTTCGCTAGCCACTTGTCATGCATAGCTTAAGAACTCATCTCGTCTTAGAGTGATCCTTTCTTCTCTGGACAAGCTCCACTGTACATATGGTGCTTGAATAAACAAGTGGATCTCCACTGGTTGATAGGCTGAGGCTCCACGAGTTGGAACGGTGATCAGCTTTAAGGAACTTTCAGGTGCATAAGGCAGGAATATGGCGAGTGTAGGCGTGCACCAGGCGGCGGTTGTGTTGGCCAATGGGTTCCCAAGTGCGACAGCAAGAACGGGACCCGTGTGTCATCGCGGGATGCTCAATCCTAGCAAGACTGTGTCAGCAGTGACTGCGTTCTCCGCTTACCGCGGTCTTGTGCGAGTTAGTAATGACTTGTCAGACTGTGAATCTGTTTGTAGTACTAGTGGGTCTACGAGTCCAGCACATGGGGCACCTTCTGGACTCGGCAGCAGATCGCGACGATTAGTATGTCGAGCGTCATCGTCTTCGCCCCTTCAGGAGAACGAAGGGTCGATGCACGAGGTGGCAGCAACAGTGCCGGGACTCACAAGACGAGATGTATTGGCAAGTAGTGTGGGCCTTGCAGGGCTCGCGCTCTCGGGTCTCTCTGTGGGAAAAGAAGCCAAGGCGGCTGATGTGGAGGATTGGGAACCTGTTCCGCTCCCAGTTGATCGGGGTGTGGTGCTGCTAGATGTGGGTTTCGTACCGGACGAGCCACAACGCGGGTACTTGGTCGGGACGAGGCAAACGCTACTAGAAACTACGGATGGCGGGAAAACTTGGGATCCCCGTCTCATAGGAGAGGCCGACGAAGAGGGGTACAATTTCCGCTTCAATTCGGTGTCATTCAACGGCACGGAAGGCTGGATCGTCGGAAAGCCTGCCATTCTTCTGCATTCTGACGATGCCGGCAAGAATTGGACTCGTATTCCGCTCAGCACCAGACTCCCTGGGAATCCCGTCCTCGTCAAGGGGACAGGTCCCAGCTCTGCCGAGATGGTGACCGATGAGGGAGCGATTTACGTCACTTCCAACAAAGGTTACAACTGGAAGGCAGCTGTGGAGGAGACGGTGTCCGCGACACTGAACCGGACTGTTTCCAGCGGGATCGGAGGTGCAAGTTACTACACTGGGACCTTCAGCAACATCAACAGGTCGCTAGATGGATCGTATGTGGCGGTATCAAGCCGAGGAAACTTCTTTTTGACCTGGGAACCTGGTCAGTCGTTCTGGGTGCCGCACAACCGGGTCAGTTCCCGAAGGATTCAGAACATGGGTTGGAGAACAGATGGCGGATTGTGGCTTGTGACCCGGGGAGGGGGGCTTTACCTAAGTCAAGGGGAGGGAGTGAGCGAGAACTTCAAGGAGGCCCGCCTTTCGAGCCGAGGTTTCGGGATTCTGGATGTCGGTTTTGTATCGAAAGATCAGGCTTTCGCAGCAGGGGGGAGTGGCATCTTACTGAAGACACAGGATGGTGGAAAGACGTGGATCCGTGACAAGACGGCAGATGACATCGCTGCAAATCTGTATGCAGTTCGATTTGTCAATGAAAAACAGGGCTTCGTTCTGGGTAATAATGGTGTCCTTCTGCGCTACATAGGCAGTGGGATCGCATCTGGCTGAAGCCACAGCTGAGTTCGTTTCTTCGCTTCAGTGACGCCTGTCTCTGTTCCTGGAGCGTTTGGTGCGACATTCCTGTTTGCTGATACTTTGTTCTGTCATGTTCACCCTTTTACTTCGTGCAGCGTGGGACAAGCAGTGAATTACTTTCTAGTACACTCTTTTTTTTTTTGCTTTCAACCATGGAAGATACCTTGCTCTGGAGCGGTATCTTATCTCCTCAAATCTGGGTATGTATATTGGAAAGGAGTCAATCCAGCCGCAGGTTCCCCTACGGCTACCTTGTTACGACTTCACCTCAGTCACTGATTCTACCGTGATAGTCTCTATGATCAACGATGCGAAAAACATGCTCTCTTCCTGCGACTGCGGGGAGCAGCGCGGAATGGTACCTTATCTTATTATGTCCTTTGAACTTTCGGTTTGCTTATTAGGTTCATTGTGCAGGCCTCTCTCTCTCTCTCTCTCTCTCTCTCTCTCTCTCTCTCTCTCTCTCTCTCTCTCT